ATGAATTAAAGAAGTGCATTGGATGATGTGTAAAAATGAAAGTGGACAAAATGAACGGAGGGAGTAACTATTAAAAATCACCAGCTTTATATTTTTGTGTTACGTTCAATCGATGAAATCTTAGTAATTTAAATGTCTTTTTTTAATACTATATTAGTTTGCTTAACTACTGATGTTGAAAACAAGGTCAGTATGTATAAATATTTTCCAATATAATCTGAATCGAGTATTCCTCTATTTGTATTTGTATTTGTTTAATATTCAAATCAAAACTAATATCCGAATCGAGTATACCTCTATCTAATATGCCATGTAGTGTTTCACAAATAAAATCTCTAGAATATATTACTAGTACTAAATTAATATTATTCAAAAAAAATAGTAACAATGATTATTTGATAAAATAAAATATTTGTATCACTTCTTCTTTTATTAAACTTTTAATTTTTAAATATGTAAATTTTGTATATTTTATATAATTTTTTCTTTTATTTTTTTAATCAATTCGTATGTAAAATGAATCCAAAGAACATGAGGGTTTGTCTCGTAAATCCCCCAAAAACTAATTTGGAGACACAAGGAGTATTATAAAAAAAAATTCAATTTTAATTCAATATATCTTTTTATACTCTGCATATGAGTCGTCAATTTAGAGTCTCTGTCGAATCCAAGAACCGGAGTGACCGAGAGCAAGAATAGTACGGAGACTTAGAGGTAGTGCCCCCAATTTTTTTAAGCAATGTGAAATTACAAACAAAATAAATCATCTTAATCCAGCAAACACATAATTACTGAAAAAGTTGTTAAAATACTCACTTTAATTTAACTTTCTCTTGTAATGTTTAATTTCAAATTATATTCTTCAAATTTTAAATATTACTTTTTTCAATTTTATTATTTTAGAATTAAATATTTTATTTTCTCTACTTGAAACTTTCTTTTTATTGGGGGCAAAAAGTTTTTTATGAGGGATATTAGTTTATTTTTAAGGAAAATCTAAATATATTATTATAAGAGTCAATTCTATAATTGGTCCTTTATAACATGGGGGTTTCCCTATTTAGTCTTCTATTATCAAATATTACCCAAGTGGTCCTTCTTTTATTGGTACCTTTCCACAAATAGTCCTTTTTTGATCTTCTATCATGTTTGTGTTCATTTGAGGGCTAAAAGTGTAATTTCACAATGATAATATATCTTTTTTGTCATACACAATTCTAAAGGCTATTCCGTTTGCGTCGTTTGTAAATTACAGTTGCTTTTTACGACAATTATAGTCTACAAATGTGATCTTTTGTCAAAATCCTAACCCACAATCATAGTCATTATTTTTATGTTATCCGCTTAACCTATATCAGAACATGTCATTAGACATAATGTTGACGTCAAATTATACTTTTAGCCTTTAAATTAACACCAACACGGTAGAAGATCAAAAAAAGGACCATTTGTGGAAAGGTACCCTTAAAAAAAGAACAACGGGGTAATATTTGATAATAGAGGACTAAATATGGAAACCCCCCTGTTATAAAGGACCAATTATGGAATTTACTCTTATTATAACTAATAATAAAACTGATTTGGAGCAATTTTAATTCAATAAGGAGAATATTTTATTAGAAATTCTTAAATGCTACCGGAGTGATCCCCAAATAAATATTTTATTAATTAATGCATCTTATCTATTGCCCTTAGAGAAACAATTATCAACTTCTTAAAAACCCACACTTTATATTCCCTCCGTCCTATAAAGATAAAGAAATACGGAGTATTCACTAAAGTGGCAAAACAAAGGAGGGATAATTTTGTGTTGATTTTCCAAAAATACCATTGATGTGATGAATAGATTATTAGGAAAATGACATGATGTGATAGGTAGGGTATGAAAAAGTAAGGGGTAAAAATGATTTTTTAATAAAAATAAGGACTTTTGGGGACATGGTTTTTTTGAAACGTGAAAGACTTTTTTGGACGGAGGGAGTACTTCTTTAGTCATGTTGCATGTGTTTACGGTGAGATATAGAGTTCTGGTCAATAGTTCTTTTCTGAGCCTATCTGCCCCTCCCAGGGGCTTCGTCAGGGAGACCTTCTAAGACCTTATTTATTTGTGCAGGGGGTCTTTCACTTCTCCTGAAGGACGTTGAACAGAGATCAATTTTGCATGAGATACGTGTTTGTAAAGGGACTCTCCCAATCTCTCATTTATTTTTTTTTTTTGCAGATGATAGCCTCCTTCTCTTCAAAGATACTACATAGAAGGCTACGGTTGTTAAGGATTGTCTGATGGAGTATGAACGTATTTTGGGCAAGCTGTTAATTTTAACAAACATAGTATTTGTTTTAGTCTTAATACCCAAGGGGAACATGTGACCATTTAGCTAATTTTTTGGGGGTTCCTCATGCATGTAATTTTGGGAAACACTTGGGGCTTCCATCCTTTGTAGGATGTGATAAGAGGGCAATCTTTAATTACATTGTTGACAATGTTCATCACAGTATGATATGTTAGAGCAAAAAAGTACTTTCAAAAGCTCGTAAAGAGATCTTTCTAAAGATTGTGGCGTAGGCAATGCCTCAATATGCAATGAGCATTTTTCACTTGTCTCAAGGTTTTTCCCAGGAAATTGAACATATGATGATTTTTTTGTGGGGTGGTAAAGATAATGGGGAGAGAAGCATTCATTGGATGTCTTGGGAATGCTTGGCTAGCCCAAAAAGTTTGGGGGTCTCCGTTTTAAGCATCTTCACAATTTTAATATTGCTTTTTTAGGGAAACAGGGTTGAAGACTCTTAACACAATTGAATGTACTAGCTTCCAGGGTGTTTAAAGCTAGATACTTCCCCAAATCAAATTTCTTTGAGGCTTCACTAGGAAGCTCTCCTAGCATCTGCTGGAGGAGTATCCTAGCTGCACAAGAGTTGCTTATGAGGAACATCCTCACCGTATTAGAGACGGTCGAGACACAAATGTTGGGGGATCCCCTTGGCTCACTGATAAGGAGAACCCATTGATGACAACAGTTTCGTCTTCACATGTGGTAGAGCTAAAGGTTAATGCTTTGATTACGATAGATTCGTACCAAATCTCGTGCCTATTTTTAAAATTTGAAATTCAAAATTTGAAGAGCGTTTTTGTGCTCCCTTTTGGCACAACATGTTCGTGCCAAAAATTTGTGCCAATCTATACGTGTCAATACCGATCTTATCAATTTTGAGACGCATTTGAAAAATAGATTTTGACACAGACTCGTCCGTGCCAAATTCGTGCCAATATACTAAATATATAATAAACGCTTCACACTTTTTCTAAACTCTATCACAATCTTTTACTCTCTTCTCTCTTTCCTTTTCCAGCGAATTGCTCCACAGAGTCCCTCTTATGACGACCGTCTTCACCTCTGGCGACTCTCTCCTCCGCTATATATGCGTTTCTCCTCCTCATACTAGGCAAGACATCTTATTTGTTCTATTTTACTCTATTTTAATGGGATTTTAAGCGCGTAAGATACCGAAAAAATATTGAGAATACCAGAAAAACGAGAGAATAAACACAAGAAGAGAATATGAGAGAAAAAATTATATTTCCACTATTTCAGGACAATATACA